CGAGAAGGGCTAATTGGATTCGTGCCATTAAAATGGTTTCCTAGTACTGTCTTCTTTCAAAAAAAGTTTCAAAGTACAGTGCTAGCTGCAGCCTGCAGCTGCACTTGAGTATTTCTTTGCTAGGGAAGCGTGGGAACAAGGGACGTAACAAACCATAGTGTCGAAAGATGCTTACTTGGCTCTTGGAACACCATTGAGCCATCTAATCTATGTTGTTCTGCATCCTGGAGTTGGGCATCGCTAAAAGGAGGCCAGAGATTTATCTGAAAGTGTGACTAGATGATTCTGTGTCACCTTGCTAAGTGTCCTGTCGTTCTGGATCTGTCGCGAATATTTTAAGCTTTTGCAGACATGTTAACATTATCTTTGTGGTTCTTGTGTTAAAGTTCTGTCCTTTTCCATGTACTCTCTGTCACTGACATGTTGGACCATGAGATTTTATGCCTTTATTCATGTTGAGGCTTGATCTGTACTTTGGCACTAACCATATGTATAGTACATTAAGCTTCTAGGTCATTTGCTGAAAGATTTAGATCATCACTATGTCGCTTTCTTCATGTTTTGCTTCAACAGAAAAGTTGTATTTCCTGAACTCTGAACAAACAGTACTGGTTGTCGTTCTGAATTGAACTGTAAATGCTATACCACTAGACTTGATCGATTCGTTTCTAGCGGCATGCTAATTGTTCCATTGCAGTTTCAGGTTCCCTCAGTAAAACGCCAAGATGGTTAATTTCGGGAAGAGACTGATGGCGGACCAATTGGAGGAGTGGAAAGAGTATGTTGATTTTGAACTCTGAAAGTTCCTTAACATTTTGCCATGTGGATGCACTGATCTGAATAGGGTATAAGTGGGTCGACCCGCGAACCCACTTATTTGGCCTATAAGTGGGCTTGCGGGTTGGCCCACTTACACCGATTGATATGCATAAATTAGATGTATATGTCTTTTTGAAAGAAAAAAAAGAGCATAATGTGGATGTTGCTTGATTGCCCACCCTTTCCTTTTCCTTGAAGTTATGAATGAAATTTGTGAATTGTAATATACGGAAACAGGTAGTGAAAGGAGACTGAATCCTGTACAGAAGCCATACTTCTGATCTTCTAAATATTGTTACTAATTATTTATTTTTGCTATTGTAGGTACTACATCAATTACAAAATGATGAAGAAAAAGGTAAAACAGTATGTTCAGCAGACGCAGAATGGTGGAAGAAATCGTGAACAGGTTCTTAAAGAGTTCTCAAGGATGCTTGATGATCAGGTAAAACAGACTGAATTTCCTTCAAAATATGAAAGAAAGAAAAGACCTGAGTTGTTGATAAAAAATGTCGTTCTTGTTTTACCACTTAACATCAAGTTTCTTTTGTGTAGATTGAGAAGATTGTGCTCTTTCTTCTGCAACAACAAGGCCATCTTGCTAGCAGAATCGAGAAATTGGGAGAAGAGCGTGCATTGCTCATGGAACAAGCAGATGCATCCCAAATTTCTGAGCTACGAGAGGCATATAGGGAGGTTGGAATTGATCTTATGAAGCTCCTTAGATTTGTTGATATGAATGCTACCGGCATCCGAAAAATACTCAAGAAATTCGATAAGCGTTTTGGCTACAAATTCACGGACTATTACGTCTCCACTCGTGCAAACCATCCCTGTTCCCAGCTTCAGCAGATCTTCAAGCAAGTGGTAAATTCTCTTTCTTGCATCTTCGAAAACATAATTTGCGCTGTGAGGTTATATTGTTCCTTATAACTTTGCACTTGACACCTCATGTACTTATGATGCAGTTTATGGGTGCAGGGTATTGTGGCTGTAGTTGGTGCTTTGTCGCGCAACCTTGCATTTCTCCAAGATCATCAAGGAAACTTTCCATCCATCTATGATCATCCATCAATTACCTTAAAGGTACTCCATTTCTTGTTAAATGTTCACATGACAAGATCAGACATTTATGCTGTAAAATGGAGTGAACTAACTTTCCTTCTGATGCCTCAGGACCCTATCATAGAACAAATAAATCATTCGGTGCAGAAACTCACACACGCAACAAACTTACTGCAATTCATAGGGCAACATGCACTTATCATTCCAGAAGATATGCATAGTGGCTCAGAAGATCTTGTCGATGACCAGAGCTACCATTTCATGTCGCTGCTTCTGAACCTAGCTAACACATTTCTTTACATGGTGAACACATACATCATCGTGCCGACTGCAGATGACTACTCAGTCAGCCTCGGAGCAGCAGCTACCGTTTGCGGCGTGATCATCGGATCGATGGCTGTTGCTCAAGTGTTCTCTTCAGTTTACTTCAGTGCCTGGTCAAATAAGTCATATTTCAGGCCCCTCGTGTTCAGCAGCATTATGCTGTTTTTGGGTAACCTGCTGTATGCTTTGGCATATGATGTGAATTCCTTAACTGTTCTTATAGTTGGCCGGCTGCTCTGCGGGTATGGAATGTCTTGTTCTTTTTGATCTAGTACTTATGCTTTTTTTTTGTTAGCTTCCTGAAACTTTGTAATGTTTGTTGTGCTCGTTTAATCATTGCAATATAAAGCTGTTCTAGTGATCACACTGATATATGTTGTGTAGGTTGGGTTCTGCCAGAGCAGTGAACCGCAGGTACATCAGCGACTGTGTGCCTCTCAAAACCAGGCTGCAGGCATCTGCAGGATTTGTTAGTGCTAGTGCTCTTGGAATGGCCTGTGGTCCTGCTCTTGCCGGTTTGCTGCAGACAAATTTTAAGATCTACGGTTTTACATTTGATCAGAACACGTTGCCCGGGTGGATCATGTGCTTGGCTTGGATTACGTACTTATTTTGGTTGTGGATTTCATTTAAAGAGCCAGACCACATTGTTAGAGAGAATTCAGTCAACACACCGTCATCTGATTCAGGTAAAATTTCTCCGTTGCATAGTTTAAAACATAGTTTGAGAAGTTATGCCAAGGACATGATGGTAAATGCTCTGAAAATAGTAATTAAGTAATTTGCTTTGCATAGCAGGCCATCGAAGAAATAGTAATTTGGAAGATGGTCTAGCACAGCCTTTTCTCATAGATGCAAAGGAGAGTCTGGATGAAAATGGAGAGGATAATGACGAAAATGAAGAAGACCCTGAAGACTCACATAAACCAGCAACATCACTTGCTGCAGCATACAGATTGCTGACACCATCTGTGAAAGTTCAGCTATTGATCTACTTTATGCTCAAGTTTGCAATGGAAATTCTACTGTCCGAGTCGAGCGTGGTCACTACGTTCTACTTCAACTGGTCTACAAGCACCGTGGCCATGTTTCTAGCAGTTCTTGGGTTGACAGTTCTTCCTGTAAATGTCATCGTTGGGAGCTATGTCACCAACTTGTTCCAAGACAGGTAAGCATACATACTAGCACTAGCACATTAAGTTTTGTTTCCTTTTCCACTATAATCCTCAGTGTTTAATTTCCACTCGTTTCTCTTTTGTTTTCTTTAGGCAAATTTTAGTGGCATCGGAAATCATGGTCCTGATCGGCATAGCCATGAGCTTCCGTTTCACCTCTCACTACTCCGTCCCGCAATACGTCTCCTCGGCTCTCATCACGTTCGTCTTCGCTGAGGTGCTCGAAGGTAAGTGACAGTAAACAAGAGACTGAAACAGAAGTGAGGCGTGTCTGAATTTTCTGAAACCACCATTTCACTTCTGACCCTGTGAACAAAACGATGCAGGAGTGAACCTGTCCCTCCTTTCCCGGGTGATGTCGTCGAGGCTCTCGCGCGGAACCTACAACGGCGGGCTCCTCTCGACGGAAGCCGGCACTTTGGCTCGCGTCGCGGCGGACATGACGATCACGGCGGCGGGTTACCTTGGCCAGAACAGCCTCCTGAATGTAACCCTGCTTCCGTCCTTCGTGATCTGCGTAGCTTCCATCGTCGCGACATTTTGCACCTATAACTCCCTGTACTGAGAATCTGTTCTCTCCGTCTGTATGTACAAGAAGCAGTTGACACAGTTCCTGGCCACTTGGGTGGCCTGTAAAATGTTAGGCCGATGCAGCTAATGCTGGTCTCTAATTGTCATCTGTGGAAGATTAGGTTATGTTTGTAGTAGCAGTTACTAAGTTAACAGATGATGTAAGAGCATGTTCAATAAACTCTACTGATCAAATGCTCCAAAAGCCTCTTGGACAATCCTGCTTGCACCGGACCAGCGAGTTCCAGGGCAACGGCAAGAGCATAAAAAAAATGTAGGCTCAGCGGCCAAGCAAAGGTTAATTGGTGCGGATCAGAGTGAAGTGAGGTGATCACCGGTGGTTTTTGCCGTTTTGGTTTCTTAATTCTGAGTCCTTTCTTTCGTCACACTCATGGCATGCTCAACATAGGACGACTCAGTCAAGTGTGCATAGACTATAGTAGAGAAATACTTCTGCGGAGCGAATTATTAGAGCATGCATCTGGTGCTGAAAATTGTCTACATGGTCGCCAGTGATCAGAATTCAGACATTATACTGTTCTATGATAATACTCCAACAAACACCTGTGTTCATATATATCTGACTAAAACGGTATATGTTGCACGTAGTGTGCGCTTGTGGTTTGTGGTGTATGTGTGTGTAATCGAGAAAGAACAGTTTTTAATCTGACATGTGCCTGTAGTTTGTTGTTTTATGATGCTACGACATATCATCTTCAGAAATGCATTCTGACAACAGATACGCTCTGGATAATTACGCCATAAACCGAGGATGGCGTATTTCAATCTTACGTTTCCCACATCTCCTCTCATTCGCCTACAAAATAAGCAGACAAGCACGGAGCAGAGGTGATTAACATATCCGAATCTGTCGAACACTTGAGCTGACACAAAGGCTGCGGAGCATGAAGGCCGGAGGCCGGTTCCACTTGCACCAAACCGTACCAAACCAGACTAACGGCCCATGCAACAACGGTTTCTTTAGCAAACCATTCATCTCTCGCCAGTATATAAGCACACCTGATCCTGTACGCCAAACACATCAAACACGACGCACATTCCTGATCTCGTCAGCACAGACGCAGACGATGGCATTCCTCGTTGCCACGACCCTGTTTCTGTTTGGGCAGCTACTGCTGTGCTTCTCTCAACAAGGTGATCAGTCTTGTTTTTTGATTTCTTGGTCCGTCTGATTTTTACTGATTCTTGTAATCATGGTGTGTGTGTGTGTGACAGTGCGAGGTGTGAACTACACGTTCATGAGGGAGGCGGTGGAGGCGCCGGTGATGGCGTACTACGACTACATCATCATAGGCGGGGGCACGGCGGGGTGCCCGCTGGCGGCGACGCTGTCGGAGCGGTACCGCGTGCTCCTGCTCGAGCGCGGGGGCTCGCCGTACGACGACGCGCGCGTCCTCAACATGGCGCACTTCGCGGACGTGCTCGCGGACACGTCCGGGGCGTCCCCGTCGCAGCGGTTCGTGTCGGAGGACGGCGTGATCAACGCGCGGCCGCGGGTGCTGGGCGGCGGCAGCTGCATCAACGCCGGCTTCTTCACGCGCGCGGGGCCCGGCTACGTGAGGGCCCTCGGGTGGGACCCCAAGGAGGTGGTGAGCGCGTACCAGTGGGTGGAGGACGTGGTGGCGTTCCAGCCGGAGCTGGGCCCGTGGCAGGCGGCGCTGCGGAGGGGGTTGCTCGAGATCGGCGTCGTGCCGGACAACGGCTTCACGTACGACCACATCCTCGGTACCAAGGTCGGTGGCTCCATCTTTGACGCGCAGGGACGGCGGCACACGGCGGCGGACTTGCTGCGTTACTCGCGCCCCGACGGCATCGACGTGTTTCTCCGTGCTAGAGTGGCCAGGATCGTGTTCTCTCGCAAAGGTGAGGCCATGTCACGCATAATTTAGAAAAACCACATTTTTCTTGTTCAAAAGCTCGTGTTACCAACATACCGGTAAGTTTGTTAATTATCGACGGCAAGTTAATTGTTGTGGCACTGGCACGCACTTGGTGCCGCTGCGCTGTACTGCCATAGTAGTTCGCGCGCACTGAAAACGCGCGAGATTTGCAGGGACCAAGCCCGTGGCGCGTGGCGTGCTGTACCACGACGCGCGGGGTGGATCGCACATGGCGTACCTCAACCATGGCGCTAGAAACGAGATCATCCTGTCAGCGGGGGCGCTGGGCAGCCCGCAGCTGCTGATGCTCAGCGGCGTCGGCCCCGCCGACCACCTCGAGGAGTTTGGCATCAGCCTCGTCCTCGACCACCCAGGCGTCGGGCAGGGCATGTCCGACAACCCCATGAACGCCATCTACGTGCCGTCGCCGTCGCCGGTGGAGCTGTCGCTCATCCAGGTGGTCGGCATCACCAGGTTCGGCAGCTACATCGAGGGCGCAAGCGGGTCCGACTGGAACAGCCGCACCTCGGGCGCCGCCGCCGCGCAGGTGCGGAGCTTCGGCATGTTCTCGCCGCAGACGGGCCAGCTCGCGACGGTGCCACCGAAGCAGCGCACGCCCGAGGCCATCGCGCGCGCCGTGGAGGCCATGAGCCAGGTCCCCGACGCGGCGCTCCGCGGCGGCTTCATCCTGGAGAAGGTGCTCGGCCCGCAGTCCACCGGCCGCCTCGCGCTCCGCAACCTGGACCCCGACGACAACCCCACCGTCAGCTTCAACTACTTCAGCCACCCCGACGACCTCCGCCGCTGCGCCGCGGGCATCGCGACCATCGAGCGGGTCATCCGGTCCAGGGCCTTCTCGCGGTTCGCGTACCCGAACTTCGCCTTCCCGGCGACGATCAACGTCACGGCCGAGTTCCCGGCGAACCTGATGCGCATGCGCGGCGGCAGCGACCCCAGGGCGCTGGAGCAGTTCTGCCGGGACACCGTCATGACCATCTGGCACTACCACGGCGGCTGCCAGGTCGGCAGGGTCGTCGACCGCGACTACCGTGTGCTCGGCATCGAGGCGCTGCGCGTCATCGATGGTTCCACGTTCAACGCCTCGCCGGGGACTAACCCGCAGGCCACCGTCATGATGCTTGGCAGGTATACTCCTATCTCTCTGTGTTCAACTGTTCATTGGTTGATTTCGTGCCAGGAATGTTCTTTGCATAGTTCAGTGGTCAACCTGATGTATCCTTCGTGTCTGCAAAAATCTGACAGGTACATGGGAGTCAAGATCCAAAAGGAGAGGATGATAGCTGAAGGATCAGGAATAGAACCATAGTCTGCTTCTCTGCATGATACACGAGCGCGCTGCATTTGCTAATTTCTCTCTGGATTATCTTTAGTGATCATCCTATAGATCGGAAATGCTAATTGTAATCGTTGAAATTACATTATTAACTAATTTGCACGATTGTGAATGCTATGCTACCTATAAAGAATGATGTGGTGTTTGTCACTAAATTTACTGACGCCAGAAACTTTTTTGTTCTAGAATTATGATATGCCGTGATACTTTCATGGTTCCATGTCCTGGAGTAACGAGTGCATTCCAAACCTTAATTATAACCTAGTTTGCCATTATGCATAAACTGAGTGCTTGATATGCCACACTAAGCGAGTACTTATCTGCAAAATTAACGGTCACTGGACACTGGCGATCAGGGTGATTGGGGTCGATCTTAAACGGTCAAACAACGAACCGTCAGTTTGTACTGACGTGTGAGAACCTTGATTTGAACTGACAATTTTCACTCAAACTATTTGATACTTCCCTTCTTTTTTTTTTATTGTAACGGGTTCAATCAAGCCAACGCCGATGTACTGTACAAGCAAGTATTCTGTATTCATGTGCTGTACTCGTTACGTATTTTGTGTGGTAATGGTAGCGTCATAATGTCTGAACATGCTCTACATATTGTCAGATTGAAGCCTCCAATCACTCTGAAATCAGTTACTCTTTGCATGTAAGGTTTGTTTTTAAGCCTTTATAAGATGTGTAGGTAGTCTGTCATCTTTGTACACGGTTTCGCTGTCTTTATTAATGCCGGTGCAGGTACCGTCTTGCTTTTCTTTCTTTTTGGTTTTAATTTTGAGTTGATCTTCAGGGACCTTCAGGGTTCTCTTTCCAGCAGAGCTCTGGCTGAATACCTTTCTCTTTGGGATGAACTTCAATCAGTGGCTGTCCAGGAGGGTGTGAGAGATTCGGTGGTTTGGAGGTTTGCTGCTAATGGAGTTTTCTCTGTGTCCTCAGCCTATGATCTCTTCTTTCTTACCTCAACTAAGTGCCCTTTTGGGGAAGCAATTTGGAAGACCAAAGCGCCGGCGAGAGTCAGATTTTTTCTTTGGTTGGCAGCAAAGGGCAGATGTTTGACTGCGGATAATTTGAGCAAAAGGGGGTGGCCGCATAATCCTGACTGTCTTCTTTGCTTGTCGGCACCTGAAGATTGCAAACACCTTTTCACCAGCTGCACCTACACCAACAGGGTTTGGTCACTTTTGAGAACTTGGCTGGGTATTGGCTTTGATCTGCCTGGCCAAAGTGGAGAAGAACTGGCGGTTTGGTGGCAGCGTGCGCGCAGCTGTTGTCAGCCCAGCTACAGAGATGCTTTTGACTCCTTCTTCATGTTGGTTTGCTAGCGGATTTGGAAAGAACAGAATGCTCGAGCCTTCGATCAAAAGGAGAAAGCTGTGGAGTCGCTCGTTGCAGACATTAAAGAAGATGTGATGGTCTGGAGAGCTGCCGGTATTTTTCAGTTTAGTGAGGAGTAGACCTTTGAGTTGCTGCTTCTGTAAATAGTTCTCCCCTTTTCTTTTTCTCACTTTGTTTCAAGGCTTTTGCCTTGACTCGACAATTTAATGTCGGGATACATGTATTTTACTCCCAATCTTAATGAAATTTGGTCGGCATTCTTTCGCCGACCCGGCAAAAATTTTGAGTTGATCTTTTTATCTGCTTGCTTCCTATTATCATCGGATCCCCGAAGTGCAACTTCCAGTACTTCAAACAGACGAACAGAGCATTGGATTGGCTAGGAAAAGTTAACGAGTCCCAAGTTATTCGGAGGACTAGGTTTTCGAGATATTAGATGTTTTAATCAAGCCCTACTTACTTAGCAGACATGGAGATTGATCGATACTCCAGAAAACTTGTGTGCTCGGGTACTGAAGGAGAAATATTATCCAAATGGATCATTAACTGATACAACTTACGGTACTTACTCTTCTGATGCATCGCCAACCTGAAAAGGTATTGAATATGGGCTAGAATTGCTGAACAAGGGTTTGATATGGAGAGTAGGAGATGGGCGCCAAACCAAAATCTGGAGGAGCCAATGGATTGCACATGGGGAAAAACCAAAGATCTTGCAGAAGAAGACCTGGAATCGTCTTATATATGTACACAAGCTCATGAATCCTGACACCAAAACATGGAATGAACCTTGAATTAGACATGTAGTCAAGGAAAATGATGCATCTGAAATCCTAAAAGATCAAAATACCCGAAAGGGAGATGCCTGATTTCCCAGCATGGCACCTTGAGAAGATAGGAATATTCACTGTCAGGAGTGCTTACAAGTTAGCGTAGAATCTAGCCGGAAAGATATGCATTGAATATTCATCTAGCTCGGCAACAGATGGAGAGACGAAGATCTAGAAGAATATATGACAAACAAATGTCCAACGAAAAGTGTGAATTTTCGCCTGGAAGCTAGCCCAAGACAGACTGCTCACTTGGGGAAACAAGAGAAAACAAAAGATATAACAGAGTGGCATTTGCCCGATCTATGGTCTGACAGAAGCAAATGGTGTCCATGCTACGGTGGAGTGTACTGTGGCTAGAGGTTTACAGGAGACAATGAGAGCACACTGGGTATTGCCGGAAGAAAGGAGTTTCAAATGGACAGGGCCTGATTGGTTGCTAGTGATGCTGGATAGTTTGAACAGATTGGTGAAGGCACATGTTCTGTATTTACTTTGAAGAGCCTAGCACCTGCGAAATGTTGTGATCCATGGTAAAGGAAATGCATCAATAGTTGACTCGGTTAGCTTCCTAGTAAGCTATGAAGTCAACTATTGCCAATCTGACAAAGGGAAGATGACCACAAAGGGAAGGGCCCTTTGTGTATAGAACCAAACCAGAAATTCTCTCTACAAGTATTGACAGACAGGTAGAGAAATGGTGTGCTCCACCAGAATGAAAACTGAATGTTGATGCTGGCTATAGGGAAAGAAACTGGGGATGCAAGTGTCGGGTTTATCTTCAAGGACTGGAGGGGCTTGGTGCTACTTGCCGACCACAAAGCCTTGCATCACTATGGCTCTGCTGCCCAGGCTGAATGACTTCGAGCGACGGTTGAACTGATCCACATTCCAATTGTGATGGAGATGGATAATGTAGAAATAGCCAAAGACTTAAAACAGCAGGTTCCTTGAAATCGGCTTGGCGATGACGATTGAAGAGATTAAAGGAATAATGCAGTGTTTTCAACAAGTGCAAGTGCATAAGATAAAGAGAGAAGCAAATATGGTAGCACATGTTTTAGCCCAAATGGTAATGATCTTGTGCATGCGGAGTGAAGGCTGTGTACTCCCACAAGAATCCTAGACTTAATGAACCAAGAATGTAATCCCTTATTCACACATTAATAAAGTTCTCTCTTTACCTTAAAAAGAAAAGACGAACAGAGCATCGGTTATTCAGTTTCGTTTTTTGGTTGTGTACATTGTGTAGAGACCGGATTCTTAATCCATTATTAAAAAAGAAATCACCTCCATTAGCAAAATCCTAAAGCTAATACCAGCAAGTTGCTGAGAAAGATAGCAGTAGCGAGTGACCGTGATATTCAAAGAACAATGAAGTGGCCACGAAATTACACAAGGTGGTCATTATCTAAAAAAAGAATTACACAAGGTGGTCGTTATCTAAAAAAAAATTACACAAGGTGGTACGAAAAGTAAGAATTTACAAGGGTTCGTTTTCCTTGAGAACCAAAGGGAAGAGATCGGATAGATCAGGAGACCGCGATGCAACTTATTACTTGTCGCGGACTCGCGGTATGTGTGGTGGGATCGGTGGATCTACCGCGCCCGGTTGTCGCTAGCGCGCTAGCAGCAGCGCGTGCGCGTCGCCAGAGGCGTGGAGGCCTCGTCTCAACGCTCCTCCCCAACCACCAAATCACATGGCCCCTGCTGCATGCTCGCTTCCCCCGATCATCCCGCCGGCTACCACCCCTCGCAAATTCCGCCCTCTAAAATAAAAACGCACCGTTCACGACTCCACGCTGTGGGAGCCAGACTTTTCTATACTGGTACAGACGTGCAGTCTAGTAGCTCGCGCGCACAGTATGTCAGTACGTAGTGGTATGTCTTGCGCTTGCGCCTGTCGGTGGATGGCATTTCTCTCGCAAAATCGCGACGCGGATGCACAGACGAATCGGCGATGGATCATGGTGGATCACGCCAGGTGCTGCAGGGCCGCACCACACCGCTGCAGCGTCACCGTCGGTGCAGCACACGCCGCCCCGCCACCCGCGCGCACATCGGTGACAGCATCAGCTCACCTCGGTAGCTATTAAAATCCATCCCCCTTCTCCACCTCACCTCTCCTCCCTCCCAGACAGGCTCCATTTTCCACTCTCCCCTCCTGGCCTCCCACCTCCCATCCGGATCTCGCCGCGCCGCGCCGCGCCACCCTTTTCCGCGCCGCGTCGTCGGGCATGGGCGTCGCCACCAACGGCTCCTCCTCCTCCACCTCGGAGTCGGCGGAGACCGCGCAGTCGCAGGCGTACAAGTTCCTCATCTACGGCCGGACCGGGTGGATCGGGGGCCTGCTCGGCCAGCTCTGCGCCGCGCGGGGCATCCCCTTCGCCTACGGCGCCGGGCGCCTCGAGAACCGCGCCCAGCTCGAGACCGACATCGACGAGGTCGCGCCCACCCACGTGTTCAATGCCGCGGGGGTCACCGGCCGCCCCAACGTCGACTGGTGCGAGACCCACCGCACCGAGACCATCCGCGCCAACGTCTGCGGCACGCTTACGCTCGCCGACGTCTGCCGCGCCCGCGGCCTCGTGCTCATCAACTACGCCACGGGCTGCATCTTCGAGTACGACGCCGGCCACCAGCTCGGCACAGGGATCGGGTTCAAGGAGGAGGACACGCCCAACTTCGTCGGATCATTCTACTCCAAAACCAAGGCCATGGTATGACACCTATCTTTTCTTTCTTTTTTTTAAGAGAAGGGTTTCTTTTACCTGGCCACTACATCCAACCGGATATATACGGCCATATATTTTCTTATCCACAATGAATGGACTATGTGCACATCTGAGCAAGCTAACCGGCCGGCTCCATTTTGCTTAGTTTACGATGACGATGTGTAATTGCACGTTGGAAAGTTGGAACTATGGTTTTGTGTGATCATGGAGTGAAAGGTGACACTTTGGTTGAGGCCTTGAGGGACGTATGATTAGTTAGTTTCATGCCAGTACTAGTATTGATTAGTTCTCGTTTGATTAGATCTGGCGTGGTCTGTACAGGAAGCGGATCCCCTGACTGTGATTAGCAAAGTCACAGGCGTGCAGTTCTGCTCAATCCACCATCCATTCTCATCAGACGGTGCACACCACTTGTTTTCTCAATTCCTTTCTTCTGCTCAATCCACCATCCATTCTCACCCCTTCAGAGTCTGCACCTTCAAGGCCGGTCGCCATGTCCGTCACTCCTAACCAGATCGCAATTTCAGCTGCTGGAAAGCTGTAGGCTATTTTAGTCAGATTGTCGTTGTAACAATTAAAATGGTGATAGGTGGTTGCTAGATCCGGTAAAAGCTTCTCCCTTTGCATGACCTCTACCCAAAGCACTGAATGTGAACATCACCTTCTGCAATACGAGCATTTTCTTCCAACTAATGGACTCTCACTGGTACTCAACCATAATCAAATGTTCCGGCCATCTCTTCGTCGAGATGAATCATCTCTGTGCACACGGCTGCACCTCTGGATTCGGATGCCAAGAAGGTAGATACCGGGATGAGGTGCGAGGCCGGAAGATTTGCCAACGGTTAGTCCATTTCTGTGTTTTGTATCGCCGATTACAAGATGGAAGGAGTTTTTGAGCCGATGATGGCAGCCGCGGCGGGCCAAGAAACTACCGAGTGAAGCGAGCAAGGAGAAGAAAGGAATTGGGGCAACGAGTGTGCACCGTCAGATGAGAACGGATAGTGGATAGGATGGAACTGCATGCCCATGACTTTGCATGGCGGTCTGTACAATATCCCCAATATCTTGGTCAGCGTGCTGATGCAGATCCTTATGGTTGACAATGTTGACAGCTTGGGTTGACTTACTCCTAGTTGTAATGATGGCAGACTATTGAGTAAAGCTTGCAGGAACATGTTTCCTTCTGCCTTCTGGAATCAAAACACAGTATTCATTTTGGTCTGTCGAGCATTCTGATCTGTTATTGGTCCATGCACATTTGCACACTAGTTCTAAGTTTTAAACTTTTCATAGTATCATGCTTTGATTTTGTGTAACATTCTCCATGATCTTGGCCAATTTTAATAAATAAAGGGTAGCAAGTTTCCTTGAATCAAATAGCTAAGATTGACACTAGAAATCCTGTCAACATCTTGAAGTTCTGGGAGTGTTAACTTTATGCTAGCTATAGGCTTAGCCTTTACTTTGACAGAAAGTTGTGCTATTTGAATCTGGAGTTTCTATAGGTTTAGCTAATTAACGACTTAAAATGTGCTACCATATACTTTACTAGAATTGTATATGTTTTACCCTTCATGTATGTGATTGCTGCCAAGGTTACAGAGGCATTTCATCTTGTTTTAGGATTGTTTCCTTGCTGGCATTATCAGATCATTGTTTCTTGGAGTGCATGCATTAGTTTTAAAGAAATAAACTCCTGACATGCATTGTAAGTATAGTGTGACCAAAACTATTGTGTTCTGACACTTGGTAGGTTTTCTGCTGGATGTTCTGGGTAGAAAAAAAATAAATCATTAACTTCTGTAGGTTGAAAACATACCGATATGAAATGAATATGCTGAATATGTAGCGCAATTGGATGAAATTTTGTAATACTAGAGAAAAGAATACTTTGCGAGTTCCAATTAAGTGTCAAGTTTATTGTTCATAGCCACATTATTTGTTTTCCACAATTTGTTTCGAAGTTTCAACCTATAGGTGGTTGAGTTAGATGAGAAGCACCAAATATGCGTTTACTTTCACAAGTATGTTTTTTGAGTTATTTTGAATCCCCTATATGCCATGATCTTGAATCTTTGCAAACAGTTGTTTATTTATCGAACAAAATGGTGTCTAGTCTCACAGAGAGAGATCCTCTCACTAGCAGAATCACTTGTCTGAATTTGGTTAGAGTAGTTTGTTGTGTTACCATGCTATCTTGTTGTCCTGTATGTTCATGATAGTTTCTATTTTTAAATCAGATTATTTTTCCTGACTTGTATTTCACAGTTAATCTTAGCATTGTTTTTAACAGGTTGAGGAACTGCTAAAAAACTACGAGAATGTATGTACACTTCGTGTAAGGATGCCTATTTCATCCGATCTATCCAATCCTCGCAACTTCATCACTAAAATCGCCCGGTATGATAAAGTGGTTGATATACCAAATTCAATGACAATATTGGATGAGCTTCTTCCTATCTCAATCGAAATGGCAAAGAGAAACCTCACTGGGATCTGGAATTTCACTAATCCTGGCGTGGTGAGCCACAATGAAATATTGGAAATGTATAGGGATTACATTGATCCGAATTTTTCTTGGAAGAACTTTACCCTGGAGGAGCAAGCCAAGGTCATAGTTGCACCGAGAAGCAATAATGAGCTTGATTGTACCAAGCTGAAGGCGGAATTTCCAGAACTTTTGTCAATCAAGGATTCTCTGGTAAGGTATGTTTTCAAGCCAAATCAGAAGACGTCCAAGGCTTGACAAATGGAACGGTCTGCACACAATGTTGTTGTTATTTATTCCATATAAATTGACATTTCTCTCCCTGGTGACAATCAATAAGCATGCATGATGACTCTTTCCCTGTGTGTGCATTGTTTTTGAAGCAGATAGGTTTCTCATAGGAAGTCATACCCCGTCCCGTCATATTGATTACATAGAACAAGGCAAGGTGCCATATAGTTCAACTTTTGTATGTCTTCTGGATCGTATGAATACCGTGGGAAATGGGTAAGGGTGGAGATTCCTCTGTTTGTATCTTACAATTGGAATACAGTCAGTTGCACTGCGTGTTGTTCAATAGGAAATGGCTTTGGACTTTCCTTCATGTAACATGTAATGTAATACATTGAATTCTCAGCTAATATATTGATATTTGATAGTATCGACTTAGGTGATGTTATTTTCTCAAAGATGAAGATTAAGTTTTTTTACGCAAAACGAGCTGGTATTAACATATGATTGATTGAGTTTTAATTACTACAAACTTGAAAATTAAATTAATATGATATCTTAGAGCAACTTTCATATAGAAAGTTTCCGTATGAAACGCACCGTTTAGAAGTTTGAAAAGCGTGTCACAAAAATCTTAATTTTCGTCCAACTCTTGTTGAAGAAAAGAGCAGGACTAAGACATCTGAATTTCCAATTTTGTTTTTGAAGGAGGGTGAATTGTCACAAGGTATAGCATATTAGCTTTGATTTCTTAATTTCTTTCCATCGTTAGATTTTGTGCCGGGGACCGGGAGAGGGAAAACCATCATGAATAGCATAAATCAAGCCAATAATTCATCAGAGAAGAAAATGTATACCTCATCAACTACTCCGTGGAAATACATACTCCATCTATTTCTAAATATTTGACGCAGTTGACTTTTTAAAATATGTAACCGTTTGTCTTATTCAAAAAATTTAAGTAATTATTAATTATTTTCCTATCATTTGATTCATCGTTAAATATACTTCTATATATACATACAGTTTTACATATTTTAAAAAAATATTGAATAAGACGAACGGTTAAATATATGCTAAAAAGTCAACGGTGTCAAATATTTAAAAATGGAGGGAGTATTTGTTTAGAGGAATCAAAATGATTTTGTAGATCATACCAGCTCAATGTCGGCGACTCGGTTGCTGTTGCTCGCTCCTGGCGGAAGCAGAATTTTTTTTATTTATAATTTTTTTTATTAAAAGTTTTACAAAAATAATTTTCCATTTTGAAAATTGACGGAAATAGTCGCCTACCGCCCTCTGGGAGGGCGATTTTTAAAAATCGCCCTCCCAGAGGGCGGCGAAAATGACGTGGCAGACGGCCGTTCGCTCTCGGGCGACGGCCGTCAACGAAATTTGCAGGCGGCCCCCTTGCCGCCCTCCGCGAGGGCGATTTTGTACTGTGCGGGGGGCCGCCTGCAAATGGGCGGCGAGGGGGGGCATGGAAATTTGCAGGCGGCCCCCTTGCCGCCCTCCGCGAGGGCGATTTTGCACTGTGCGGGGGCCCGCCTGCAAATGGGCGGCGAGGGGGCATGGAATTTTGCAGGCGGCCCCCTTGCCGCCCTGGGGGAGGGCGATTTTGTACTGTGCTCTATATTTTTTTTATATAAATATCAATAGTTATCAAATCTTTTTATATTGAAAACTATAGAAGATTAAAATCTCCAAGATTGGTAAAATACAATTTTATTATTTTTTAGGGCATATTTGGAATGTTACCGTACAAATATTTTGTTAATGCCAAAATATAAGCAAGTTTTGGCACTACCAAATATTTGGTAAGGTAAAATTGCATTTGATCATATTTGGTTTGCTGCCAAAATGTAAAATTGTAGTGAAGAATGTTGTACATAATCTCAATTCTAGATTACGTATTACCAATTAATAGGCTTCCATTTTCGTGTGTGGTGTGGTAGTGGGAAAGAAGATATGAAGAGGTTGCCTTCAGATTGTCAATTATATAGCGTCGTTTTCACTGCAATATATGTGAACTCAATGAGATACATTATTCATTAGATGTGACAAGACGATCACGCGTGGGCGTGATTCACTTTATGTCAACAGGCAGCGCCGAAAGTTGATAGTGATAACTCGAGCTGCCGCTTTTCATGTGTGCTGTTGTGGACTGTGCGCGCTACTGGATATGGCACTACCGTGAAGCGCCGAAAGTGTGTTGTTGTGAGCATAAGTTGTTCAAGCACCATACGAATGAAAAGAACTACGTAGACGAGACAAACACAAGTAGTACTGCAGTAGTAATAGCAAAAGTAGTACTGCTTTACAAGTTTGTAAGCCAAAAGAAACGGTCACATAAGGACTGAAGAGGTAGAACACTACTGACGAGGCCTCTTACCCCTGTCCCTCCTACCCTGCGCCCTAATGTGCCCCTGGGAGTACGTGAGTCGGTCCGGGGGTACGGCACGGCCAACCCGTCCTGCCTGTACAGGTGTGACCTCTGGCTGCTCCTGAGTGTGCGCCTCTGGAGCTCCTCCAAGCTGAGAGGAGCCTAGTACGTCCTGGTGGTCTGCACCGTGCAAGTCGTCGTCGTAGAACTGGCTAGTAGGACCAGTCCTACCGGCGTGAGACGAAGAGGCCCCAGTACCGAAGATCCCGGCTGCAAATCCTGCTGGACAAGGATCATCAGTTTCGTATAGGTATTTAACAGTATTAATAAAAAGTAAAGTACCGTGTGGGCGAGGGATCGACGCTCCGTGAGAGGAAGAGCTGGCGAACGCGCCTGAAGAGGTGGCGAACGCCCCTGCGGAGCTCGCGGAAGCGCCGGTCGTGCCTGCGAACGCGCTCGAAGGCATACGAGGTCCTGCGATGAGGAAACGTGCAGTTAAAACATGGTGACACATTCGTGCAAAAGCTGAAACAAAAATGAACTAATATCTGGGCTGAACTGTACCGTGCGAAACCGGTGCTGTAGGTCGCACTGCTCCGAAGCTAGGGGCGCTCGAAGACAAACGAGGTCCTGCTCCGACGGTAGGACCGCGAGGCCGTGGGTGTACCGGACCAGCTGGAGGTACGACGTCCACGGCGCTGCGACAGGAGAAGACGCGCATGACCGCACGCATCTTCTCCTGCATCCGGTCGAAGGTCGACCTCTGCTCAACGTCAGTCAAGTGCAAACCTCTGTTCAACCTCACCTGGACTGCGGTGATATCGGCACTGATATCCCGTGCCGCATCAGCCTATGCAAGATGGAAATAAAAAATTCAGTAGTTGTCCTATATTATGCAAGATAAATGACATAATTGTTGGAAGTAATACAAATTGGACGTACCGCCACGAAGTAGTCTCGGTCACGGTGCGTGGGATACGCGTCCGTGACAGCGGCAACGTGCGGCTCTGGGGCGTCTGGAGTGAAGGTCACACGCGCACGAGTGCGAGGAAGGTACCAGCGAAGGTAGTCACGGTAGTTCTCCTCCGTGTGTGGGAAGAGCTCGTTGATCACCTCCTCTGTAGCTAACACCCAGTCGTCAACGTACTGCTGTACACGTGGAGCCCAAAGTGCGCCTGCTAGCTGTCCCCGTCGAGTCAACCTGTGAAGAGAGGTAAATTGTATGGCTCGATGATGTAATTATCATAAAAATTTAGAAATGAACAATCCGAACTCACGAGTGGTCGGCAGGGGGGACGGTCGGCTGCACGTTGCCGGGAAACACCTGCCTAAGTCCGAACTGTCTCATCACACGCTGCGGCCAGTGAGGCTCAACGAAAATGTCGAACACCATCGGCAGGATGGTGAGCCAGTAAGCCTGGTCGCGTGTGCACAAGGACGAAAGTCCTAGCGGTGCTCTCGCAGCGACGGCCTCTTCTGTGTACGGCTCCCAGATGACGTCGCTCGGCTGGAGACGGTCAAACTCGAACACGAAGTCCGGGTAACCACGTCTCACCTGGACGTGAGCGTAACGACGCTGCAATAAACATGATCGGAATTAGACATGTTATGTGAAGGAAAAAAAAAGAAGAGGACTGATAAACTTATAACGCAGCGAAGTTGCACTAACCCCACATCGACACCAGTAAGTCCCCATCGTGGGACCGTCCTCTGGCCACTGCGCGCTGCGACCAACCCCGTAGGGTGCGCTGTCCACCACTGGTCGCCCTATGGCAAACCTCTCGGCTGCCCAAAGCTGAAGCAACATAGGACAGCCAGCGATGATCGCTCCCGCGTCAGTCTTCGTGCACGCCTCACAGAGGGCACGGTACGTGGCTGCTAGCACGGCAGAACCCCAGCTCCACTGCGGCACGTCCTGTGGCTGAGCATCCGCGATGGACCGTGCGTAGTGGACCAGCCGGAAGTCCACAGCGTGCCCGTGGGTGCTAGTGAACATCACCCACCCGAACAACCACAACAGGTACGCCTCAAGGGAGCGTCGGACCGAGTAATCATCAGCGTCAGGGTGCAGAAGGTCCGCCTACAGTTAAGAATGAAATGTTAGTACAAAACACTGATCCGGTCGCAAATAAGCACGTATGATAATAACAACTTATGTACTTACAGTGAACTGGAGCAACCAAGCCTTGCTAGGCCCGACTGTAGAGTACGGAGGAAGGGTGGTGGTCGGTCCTAGGTGTGGAAGGCGCATCACCTGCTCGAAGCGCGCAGTGATATCCTCCTTCCACCCAAAAACACCGTCGACGGGACCAACTGGTGCTCCCGCCAGCGGTAGCCCGAGCAGGTACGACACGTCCTGCAGTGTCGGAGCCATCTCCCCACAGGGAAGGTGGAACGTGTGCGTCTCAGGTCTCCAGCGGTCTACAAGAGCGGCAAGGAGTGACCGGTCTGCATCCCACCGCTTCGCTGGGTCACGGTCGTCCCCCGCCGCCTCAACAAGCCTACAAAGTGGTAGAAGGCCTGCCGCACGCAACCTGTATAGAGCAAACTTCAAACATAAGTATAAAACAAAGAAAAGTTGAGTTGAAATGTGAACATACGCGTACCAAGGAACGTGACGGGGGTCGACACGCAACCACTCGCGCGACGTGCGTGGACGGAAGGTGCCGAGCTGTGCACCCTCGACTGCTGACAGGAACGAGCGGTGGTTCCTGTCAATCCCACGGTTCAACAGCGCCGGTGTGTCGTACGCCATACCTGCATCAAATAGGTTGATCAGAAACATATAAATAATTAGTTCAACATAAGTAATAAATGTTCATAAGCGAATTACTAACACATATTAAACAAGAGTACAAACAAACAAAAGTGTTTAGTCCGAACACTCATCACGATAACATTATGATACAACACCGAATAGTTCGCAATACTACTAGTACAACAATAGTCGGAGGTACTCATTACAACAAGATTGAATTGAAATTACACGATAGAAGTATTTAGTCCGAACACTCATTACATCATTTTATTTCCTAAATCGAAAGCATTGTT